CATAGGAACAGACAAAAAATTGAGCAGCTGCGAATGCGAACATATTTATTACAAGCCACAATGCGAGGAATAGCAGGATAAACCCAAGATTAATGGATACAATAAACTGACAGACCATCGAATACATGTGAGGAGGTCCTTAGTCAACTCCGTTTAACAGGCGAGAGATAAAAAACAAGAATGCAGAAGGGTCCAGCTGAAACAGAATACCAATGAACATCATAGCAGGCACACATCTAACGATAGAATATAGGAATGGGTTTTGTGTACGCAGTGAAAGAATATGAGCTTCTGATTCTGACATTATCGATATTAAGTAATGAAACGGTATATTGTGTTTTGAATTGTGCGAATGTGCTTACTCAAACGAATTTTTTGGCGAAAGACCGCTTCCCAGGGTACCATCTTCACTTCAACTTCCCTGTGATCACCAACGTCTAGATTGACCCCAAGATATTCAGAACAACCATGAAACTATGGAATGGCGTCTACAGGATTGCGTTTTTTAATTCCAGAATGCACGACGAGTGCGAACTGCGATACAACACAATAATATCTTGTTGAAACGCGTTTACCCATCAAAGCTACCCTGAGTCTAGTTTAGTCCACCTGTCAAGTGGTTTGCCGGGGAGTAATCTTCCAGTGGCTCGCACGAAAGAGCCGAGAGCCGGATGAAGGTCCTCCAACAATTAGCGATGCTATCTCACACTGTTATAACATATGCTCCGGTGAGTGAATCAATTACATACAATGAATGATACCAGACATCATGAATGATTACGTACTAAGATCCGAAGCACAACACTCACCTCTCTTGTCAAAATAGCGTGTAACCCAACCACGTCCGAAACAGATATCCACTCGTTCTGCGTGCCGCATCACAAATAACTGTCTTCCTTTACTGAGACCATTTGAAGAACGAAAATAGGCGCTCACACGTGACTTTGGACCAGGGGCAGTGAGGGAATTATCTCGCGCAGGAACGACTCGACCGGACCATGCTACATCCCCATTTGTTCGATCAGACAATGAAGATGGGGATCGGGAATGGGATAAGAGAAGCAATGAGTTCCGTGTGGATGTGAGTGCTGTAACTGGGTCCGGCTGCGCAAGACAAGAGCTAGGAGCGAAAGACTGCAAATTCATTGTACTGGATCCAGGAGAAAATGATGATGAGTTGGAGGATGTCGAGGACGGATGACGACCTGCGATCGTCACCGAATCAATTCCGGAAGAAGTGCACTTTGCATTTGGTGATTCCGGCGAACCATATTGAGCTGTGTGAAGACGGGACATGTGGGATGGAGCATCCCCGTCACCGGACATATACACCGTAGAACAACAACCATTCAATATGGACTTCATCCCACCAGCGGACTGAAACCAAACATAAACATAGACAAAGGATGATGAGGTCGCTTGACCGTGGTATGTATGAACAACAACAACAACAACGTTGAATAATGCCTTAGTTTCTTTCCAAATGACCCAGTGCAGTTGGCAATGAGCCTTTAGGAACGAATAAACAGTAACAGATATGTATGTTTCTCATGTATGAAGCAAGTAAACCGGATGGCATATACGAACTATTAGAACAAATTGTAGTATGTACTGAATACGAGATGACAACAGACGGTAGTTGCCCGAGAGAGAGAGAGAGAGACTGAGAGCCCGGAGATGTAAGGCTTTATTCGTCTAACAACTCTGGCATATAGGCTAAAACGTATAAAAGAGAAATGTTATGAATACGATATGCAATGTGATACACGACATTCTCCCCGGCAAAGAAAATGTTGTCAGGTCTCTCTGCTTTTCAAGTTATACGGGCAAGTTCGTTGCTGTAATTCTAAAAGTGAAGGTTGTTGATTATTCGCGGGTTGGGGAGAGTTTGCAATATAATGTGAAATAAAATCATCGGTAGATTGGTTGTGTGAACTGTCAATAGGGGCATTATTTGATATAGGTTTGACGAATGGAGTTTCGGGGACTGTTGGTGGACACGATGATGATAGAGGGGCTAGATGATGAATGGGCACCGTTTCTTCCCTACCGTTTGGAAGTTTGACGTGTGCGTACCTTGGATTACACTCGATCAGCTCTACCTCGTCAGCCAGTGGCTCGTACTTTGATACCCGAGGGAGGCGCTTCATTAAAACTGGTCCACGAACAGTCAGCCAACTTGGCAGTGATTCGCCGGATGTTGACTTGCGATTATACTTAAACAGACGCTCATGAGGGGACTGATTTGTAGCGGTACACAAGAGGGAACGAAGAGAATGTAAAACATCAGGGAGAAGAACTTCCCATCACTGCAAGATAAAGATCTGGATTTGGCGGCTAGGGTGATTGCACGCCAAAGTGTACCGTTGAATCGTCCAATTTGTCCGTAACTTTGCGAGTTATATGCGGTGGTTCGGCTAGTTACGATTCCTTTAGCATGGAGGAAACGTTTTAGTTCATCTGACATGAATGAGGAACCACGATCGATGTGAATGTAAATGTGTAAATGTACCAAATACATAAAATAAATTGACAGAGGTGATAGTTGTCATATCGATACACGGAAATGCGAACGGGAATCGTGAATATTCATCAATTATTGTGAGTAAATATTTGATACGTGTATGTGATGGTATTAGTCCCTTGAAATCCATATTTAACCTCTCAAATGGAGCGGTGGCCTTGATAAGGTTCCCGGTGGACAGTTTGCAAAATTTCGGTCATAAGTCGGAACACACTGTACACTGGGTGATAGTGTTTTTTACGTCTTGTACAGAATAAGGTAGATTTCGGGATCTCACAAAATGCAAAAGACGCACGACGCCAGGATGGTATAGAGAATTGTGAAGCTCCGTTTTAAGGACACGGTAGTCAATGTGGATGTGATGTTCACGCGAGTGTCAGCAACTACAATTTCTTTAATTGGACGATATGATACGTCGAAGCTGTAGCAAGACAGTTCGATTCTCCAGCGCTGTATTTTCTCTTTTTTCACTTTCCCTCGCTGCTGCTTGCCATACATGAATGCGACTGACCTCTGATCAGTGTTTATAAGAAAATATAAACCAATTAAGTAATGCCACCATTTTTGGACTGCCTCGAAAATAGCACAGGCTTCTTTCTCGACGGAAGAGTGACGCTGTTCGGAAGGTGTTAGTGTCCGTGAAAGAAAACGCAACTGGTCTCCCGTTCTGTGATAGTATAGCGGCTATTGCTATCTCTGAAGCATCGGTTTCCAGCACTAGAGGAATGTGAGGATCGACGGTTGTCATCACAACTCAAGCAAGTTCATTTTTCAGAACATCATACGCAGCTATGACGCCTGTTGGCAGCGGGAATGTGTTGTTGTTGATCAGAGGGTTAATCTTGTCAGAGAAATGAGATATCCACTGAGAATAATACGCGAATAACCCAATAACCCGTTGCATCGATTTTTGATCTCGAAAAGGCGGCAGCTCCAGCAGGGGTCGTAGACGGTCCGGGTCGGGTTTGATGGATCTGTGAGACTTCATATCCGAGTATCTTGATTTTGTCTGTGTTAATGATGCTTTTACCGTCATTAAAGGTGAAGGAGTATTTACGAGCAACCTGGTAGAAACGATCCAAGTTTCTCCGATGCTCTTGATCAGAGGAACCACATACCGTGATATTGTCTAAATAGGCAAAAGTCGCTTCCAGCTTCTCGTTCCTAATGAGTTGGTCGATAACTCTTTGGAAAGAAGAAACACCATT